AGAGGGGCTAGCAGAGCCAGGCTTTTCAGGGCATCTCTCATACCTCTGTGGCCCCTCCATGTGGTCTCTCCTCTATGGCAGTTTTGTAATAGCCAGACTTAATACGACAGTGTTCCTGAGGCATGCAGGGCATAAATCCTGAGGTAAGGAGAAAGACAAACATGGATAGACAAGTGGTGCTTGTGTTGTCTTTTATAGCCTAGTCTCAGAGGTCATATAGTGTCACTTTTATCACCTTCTATTGACCATTGGCAGTTGCCGTTGCCTACGCAGGTCGAGAGAGAGAGAGAGAGAGAGAGAGAGAGAGAGAGAGAGAGAGAATATGAGAATGAGAGAACACACACCTGTCTCTTGATGGTCACGGGTCATTGCTACATTGTCAGAAGAGAACTTGGGATAGGTGTAGATTGGTGTGGCCCTTTTTGGAAAATATAATTTTCCACGTCTTTCCTCCATTTTATTTATTTTTTAAAGATTTTATTTATTTTTTATCAGAGTGAGGGGAAGGGGGGAGAGAGAGAGAGGAGAGAAACATTAACTAGTTGCCTTTTGTATGCTCCCAGGTGGGGACCTCGCCTGTAACCCAGGCGTGTTCCCTGGCTGGGATTCAAACCAGTGACCTTTGGGTTAGCAGGCCAGTGCTCAGTCCACTGGGCCACACCAGCCAGGGCTCCTCCATTTTAGACATAGTCAGTTTTCCAGGAATGTAACTGGTGTAAATTGCATATATAAAGTAAGACTATACCTGTATATCAGTATTAAAATTTGAATTTTTAAAAACTTATATTGTGGCCCTGGCTGGATACTCAGCTGGTTAGAGTGTCATCCCAATAAGCCAAGGTTGCAGTTCGATCCCCTTTTAGGGCACATAAAAGAATCAACCAATGAATCCATAAATAAGTGGAACAACAATTTGATGTTTCTCTCCCTTTCTCTCTGTCCCTCCTTCCCTTTCTCCCCATTTCCTTCTCTCTAAAATCAATTAAAAAAACCCATTGTGATTCTTGCCATTTCTCATTAATTGCAGTTTTATGAAAATTTATAATTCAGCTTAATAGCCGAAATACAACAATTCTTTAAAAATCTTTATCTGTTGATACATTTTAGAATTTATGTTAAAAATATCTTTGTGTGAGCTAGAATAATTTCTTAACTTTGTTAATTTCTGTTATTTGTTTTGGGGGATAATAATTATGGGAGTAATTACAGATATTTTCATATTGATTTAATATAAATATAGCAAAATCTTAGCAACCCAAGGGATAATTAGGAAGTTTATAGATTACTCGTTACTTTAAAAAAATTTTTATGTGATTAAGAAAACATTTTCTTTGTATTCAATTTATATATCTAATAAGAAAGAATAGATGAAAGTTGCATTCAGCCTTTTGATTTATATTCTAAAAGACTGAAGCATGTAATACTAGTGAATGCTGGTAGTTTTGAGTTATGTAGCTATAAATCTGGGATTTTTAATGTAAGTGTGCATTCTGTTTAGAGTATAATTTCATTTGGGCTTATGACTGCCGGTAATTTTCATGATTGATGCAGTCAGACTTAATTAAAACATAGGATAGAATCCATCATTATCAACGATGAGAAGTGGTGGATGATCTGCAGGGATGCAGGACTATCTTGCATGGTATTTATGTCCACTGTTGCTATTCTGGAGTGAACACAGTTAAAGTAACTGAGATGACAGGTGTAGCCTCAAGGAAGCTATAAACTTTGGGGAAAACCTGAGACTGAAGATATGATGAGAGAAGGGTCATGGAGAAGGTGACTGATTTGCTAAAAGTATGGATAATCCACACATGAGTAATTGAATATTCTCTATATACAGTCTCTGGGAAATAGAGAAATTAATTAAGTTCTTTGATTTCTTTATAAGTAGTGCTGAATTTTCCTGGGATATATGATGATTTTGATTATTAAATTGTTTAAATAGATGAATAGTACATTTAATAAATATGTTAAGATGAAATTAAGTGCAGTATAATTCTTTATAAATTAACTTCAGTATAGTCCTTTATATTTTGCTTTAGAGCCTTTCAGAATATATTTACCTGTGTTATGACTTTAACTTCACAATGTCCTTTTCCATATTATCTTAGTCTGCTTGAGCTGTCATAACAAACTACCATAGACTGGGTGGTTTAAACGGCAGGAATTTATTTCTCACAGTTGGAAGTTCAAGACCAAGGTGCTGGCCAAATTGGTTTCAGGGCTTACAGATAGCTGCCTTCTTTTGTGTCCCCATATGGTAGATAGATAGAAACGTGGTCTCTCTTTTTCTTCTTGTAAGGACACTAATCCCATCATGGGGTTTATCCTCATTACCTCATTTACCTCCCAAAGGACTCACCTGCAGATATCATATTGAGGGGTTAGGGCTTCAATGTGTGAATTTTGGGGGAACACATTCAGTCCTGGAGTAGTTTAAGCTGATATTGAACATTAGCTAACTAGTAAGTTGTAGAACTAGTATTAAATCACATACCCTTGTTTTTACCATTTGATGCAACAATTTAAATATACAGGTCAGAAATTTTATCTTGTTATTTCTCAGCATTTGTCTCTAAAATTTGTCTTTAAGTGTCTGACTATATTTCATATTCCTGCCAAACAAATAAAGCTTCCTGGTTCACTGAACATATTTGTGCTCCTCTGAGATTTATTCTTTCTTCCTCTGAAAGGTCTTCTCATCCACCATTTCTGTGAAACTTTTCTGATTCTTTTCCTGATTTAGTTTCTTCTTAGATGCATTTCTATTGGAGGCTTGAGTTTGTGACCCTTTGAACTAGTGACCCTTTGGTTCCCAGGCCCACACTCAATCCACTGAGCCATACCAGCCAGGGCTAAATATCTCTTAACATATCTATTTGTGTTCTCTCAAATGATTTCATTTTTTTTTTTTTTTTGGTTTCCTTTTATATCTCCTGTTTTGTAACCCATAGCCACCAAGTCCTAAATCTCTATTTCTTTCCACTTGTACTCATAATTTTATCACCTTGATTTAAACTATCATTATCTTGCCTGGACCACTGTATAAACTTATGACTTGATTCCTTTTCTCTAGCCACTTTTACTTTTTTTCCTTTCTGTTCTCCATACTATAGCAAGTGTGATATTTGAAAGCAACAGGGGGCCTGGCTACAGTAACAGTAAAGAAACAATTACTAAATGAATCAGTAGGTGCTTATGTCCTTCATCTTTGTACCTACAATCAGACATTTGTGTGGAAGGAGACTGCAGAAGGATTGCACACAAAACATACTTGATTTATGTGTCAAACTCTTTTGAAGTTCACTAGGCATCCCAACTTTTTTCCAGTGTTCATTCCTCTCTCCGTCCCCTCTTTTATTCTTAACCACCTCCGCTCAGACACAGATTTATCCTTATGTTTGACTCTTTGTGTAGAATCTTGTTAACCTTACTCATCAGTATTCTAAATCTAGATATAGAAAATGAATTATATAGAGCTATTTTTCCTTACCAGGGAGTAATTTCTGTAGAGTTTAGTACTTTTGTACTCTAGTCCTTGCATGTGCAGCACATTCTTATTTGACTTCTAGAATATCCTTTACCTTTAAAGAATGTATTGCTTCTTCCAAATGAAACAGGTTTCGGGAACTAAAACAACTTCTTTCTTTTATTTAACTATGGAAAATTTCTAAACTTACAAGAAATATAAAATAATGAACCGGCATGTTATCTTTTATGCAGCTTCAGCATGAGTAATCCTCTCTAACCCCTCCCAATTATTTTGAAAGAAATACTATTTTTATATGTAAATACTTCAGTTAAAATAACTTTTTCAAGGGTCCAAAGATAGCTATTGATAGAACCAGAATTGGAATCCAGGAGTGTGTCACTGTTGTACATACAGCACAGCTCTTGCTTATAGTTCAGAATCAAAACTGACCCCTGGCTGGTGTGGCTCAGTGGGTTGAGCGCTGGCCTGCAAACTAAAGGGTTGTCAGTTTGATTCGCAGTCAGGGCACATGCCTGGGTTGTGGGCCAGGTCCCCAGGAAGGGGCGTGTGAGAGGCAACCACACATTGATATTTCTCTTCCTTTCTTTCTCTCTCCCTTCCTCTCTGTCTTTAAAAACAAAAACAAACAAACAAAAAAACTGACCATGTTTTATTAAAGCATGTATTTATAAAATAGTGACACTGACATTTCACAAATTGCACATTGTTTAAAAAACTTCTATTTTTGATTTATTGAACAAGTGATCTTAGTGTAATATAATAATAAATGAACATTATCCCCAGTCCTGTTACTCTAAAATGTCAGTTACTTTTATCACTTTATATTGGTATTTTTTATAGTTCTAATGTCAGTTTCATCCATGCATGTGAACATTTTTAGTGAAGCCTATATTACTAGGTACTTATTTTCTTTTTCTAGAGTTTATTACTACTTATTCCTTAAGGAAAACAAAATATAGCAAACAACTATAGTATAATCTTTTAAACTGGGAAACTTGTTTGCTAATCGTTTTCTGAAGTTTATTGTTTGTGGGGACAAAGTTAATTCCTAGAGAAAAATTATTAAGTTAATTGATAGTTTTTATGATATCTTGAGGGTAAAATTGTCTTTTGGAGTAATTATTTACCTGGAGGATAAGCTTAAATTCCTCAAAAGATTCCTGGGTCTTGAAGTCTGAAACATCTCCTTATAGGGAAAGAATTCTTCCTTCTTTCTCTGAACTAAATCCGAGTTCAGTTCGTGGATGAGAACAAGGGAAGTGCTCCTGAGAAATATTTTTACTACGGAAAAAAACAAGAGATAGAAACTATTTAGTCTAATTTGTGCTGATGAAAAAAATATTTGTAATATGTTATCTTGAAAGTATATATGGTAACATTTAAAATATTTCATACGTTGTTGAAATAATTTGTAAAATGTTGTGTTTTTATTTTCCCCTTAAGGAATAGTACTCAAGTAAATGATATGTGTAATTAATATAAGCATGTATCCTTGTTTTGATAGGCATTAAGCACGATGGAACCATGTGTGATACCTGCCGTCAGCAACCAATCATTGGCATTAGATGGAAGTGTGCAGAGTGTACAAATTATGATTTGTGCACAGTTTGTTATCATGGAGATAAACATCATTTAAGGCATCGCTTCTATAGAATTACTACACCAGGAAGTGAGCGGTATGGGAAACAATTTTTTCTTCAGTTGCATTTACTTGTTTATATTAAAATTTTATACTGTTCAGCCTTAAAAATAGGTATAGGAAAGCTTCTAACAGCTAGTTTGGTCAGGAGGTAGCAGGTAACAGGCTAAATGTGGACCAGGCCTGCCTTTGTGAAGATGAAGCAGTATTTTTCCAAGGTAATCGAAGCTGTTTCTTTCTCTCATATAGAGATTTAACACTACTCAATATTTGGAAATGCAAGAGCAGGACAAGAGAGGCTTATTATTTCCTTCTTGCTATGCCTTCTATTCTGTTAACTGCTAGGGCCCATTGATTGAATCAGGAGACATTTATTAAGACTTTGAGACAGCTACTATGCATGGGTAAATTTGCAGATAAATAAAGCACAGTAAAGAGTTTACAAGTTAAGGGATTATTGGATCAACAGTGATTATCATGTGATGTTTTATACTCTATGTAGAGGTATGTATTACGTGTCTTAGAAGTAAGAGAGAAGAGTGTTAATTGTGAATGAGTGTAGAGTTTCAGGTAGTTTATCCTTTTCATGTAGATATGGATAATGCATAGGAGCAAGAATCTAGCCAATCATAGGGAAGCAGCAGAAGTAATAGAAAAATGGATTTTGGTGTCATGGTATCCCAGTTCAAATCATGGTCCTGCCATTTATTAACTAAGTAATTTGAAACAATTTATTTTTTGTCTTTTGTTTACAATTTTTAAAGTTAGAATATAACAAATTCTAAAAATGAATAGAATAATGAGATGAAAGTAGAAAAACAAAACCAAATCTTTCTGATTTTATGATTGAGAAGGATGTAGAAGAATAGGAGATAGATGATCATGAAGAACCCAGCTGGTCCAGATAACTGACTTAGAATTTTTTTCAAGTCCATAGTCTTTGGTAGGTATGCAGTACTTTGGAGACAGTTTAGTGTAGACCAAATCCAGGCCACGGATGTATTTTACTTGGCGTATACCATGCTCCAAAATTTTGAACAGTTGTTAGCCTTTTGAAATCAGGTGATTTTATACAAAAAAACTAAGTGTACGAATTCTTAGAATGAACACACACTCACCCACCCACCCACCCACCCAGAAATACCCAGAAGACTCAACCCTGGGCCTACATTTGTTCATAATAAAGTTGGCTGAAGCACAGGAGCACCTGTATCCTGTAGACAAACCAGGTGCTTGAGTTCACCAAAGTCCCTACCACTCCCTATTGCCTTCCTAAATAAGCCTGAGGTCAGTTGCCACTTGCCATCTGTCGTGTCTGTGATGCTGTCTTTCTTAGGCCCTCATTTGTATTACTTGCCTAACAGTTGTAATTGATTTGAGTTTGCCATCTCTAAAGTAGTGAAGAGTATAATGATACTCTGAAGTAGTTAGATTGGGTTCATATGTGGATTCCATTACTGTTTAACATTTGTGATCATGGGCAAGTTACTTAACTCTTTGAGACACAGTTTTCTTCCTTGTAAAATGGATAATATAAATATACCCTTGTCTTATGGAATGCAACAAACTTTACACCTCTGTAACTGCTTTTATGTATAGCAAAAGCTCAGTAAATATTAGCTGTTTTTATTATTTCAGCTACCACTGTCATCACCATCGCCTCTGGATTGTAGGAGGTATTCCTGTATTATATTGTTATGGTATAAACCAGAACAAAGAAAAATCTTATATTTTCAAAATAACCTTTTATATAATCTTATTTTAAGAAATAAATTACTGTTACCTATTTTTATATAAATTTGAAAGTAAATAATTTTATTTTTAGGGTTCTGTTAGAGTCTCGTAGAAAATCTAAGAAGATTACAGCCAGAGGGATCTTTGCAGGTGCCAGAGTGGTACGAGGAGTAGACTGGCAATGGGAAGATCAAGATGGAGGAAATGGACGTAGGGGAAAGGTAAAACATTTTTTTTCTCTCCAAGATTTTATTTATTTATCTTTAGAGAGAGGGGAACGGAGGGAGAAAGAGAGGGAGAGAAAAATCAACCTGCGAGAGATACATCAGTTGGTTGCCTCTCGCACGCTCCCAGCTGGGTACCTGGCCCACAACCCAGGCATGTGCCTTGATTGGGAAACCCAACTGGTGACCCTTTGGTTCACAAGCTGGCACTCAATTCACTGAGCCACACCAGCCAGGATTAAAATATTTTTCTTAGTTCATGTTATTCTAGAATATATTGTGTCAGGAGATTTTTATTACTACTGTATTTTAATTTCTTGGGTCAATTTTTCCTGTACTTGGAACAGTTTTTAAAATCTTCATTTCCTTTTTTTCCCTGAAAGATGAAAGATTATTCCTGTTCTGTGTAAATACTGACATTTCTTGAGAAAGTTGTTGGATAGATTTTACCTTTCTACCTTTAGGCTTCATGTTGCCCTTTTGTTGCCCAGAATGCCTTTCTGTTTGGGCCAGTCTGCCCTGAGCTTTGTTTAATGTTCTCAACTTTCTTGCCATTAAAATTTCATTTGTATTTACTTGTTTTATATTCCATTTTCTCAAAAAAACCTGTGTCTTAAGAGTAATAAGCAACTGCTTTGTTATCTAGTCCACTTTACTCTGTTACTTTTCTCAGGTAGTATGTAGGGCTTTTAATTATAGCAGTTATTCTGAAGGGAATTTTGTAGAGCTTGTTTCACTGGGGTGGGTAGCCAGAAATATTTGGCTAAGTGGGCTGTTGGATTTATTTATTTTGGATTTTATATTGCTTTTGCTGATTGTTCAGTCAACAAATATGTATCAAATTGTGTATACTCTGTCTTATGCTAAATGCTGGACGTAATGAATTTCACATTTGAGACTTTTTAGCATTGAGGAATGATGATTTTTCTTTTTCTTTTAGAAAATGATTTTATTTTTCAATTATAGTTGACATACATTATATTAGTTTCAGGTGTTCACCCAGTAATTAGACATTGTATAACTTACTGAGTGATCACCTACATAAATCTGGTACCCTTCTAACGCCATACATAGTTATTACAATATTATTGACTACATTTTCTGTGCTGTATTTTACACCCCCATGACTATTCTGTAACTACCCATTTGTACTTATTCCTTTCACCTTTTTCATTCATTCCCCCAAGCTCCTCGCATCTGGCAGCCATTAAAATGTTCTCTGTATCTATAAGTCTGTTTCTCTTCTGTTTGTTTATTTTACTCTTTAACTTTTTTAAATCCTCACCCAAGGATATGTTTATTGATTTTTAGAGGGGGGTGGAGAGAGACAGAAAGACAGACAGACAGACATCGATGTGGGAGAGGATCATTGATCGGTTGCCTCCCATATGGGCCCCTACTGGAGACTGAACTCACAACCTTTTTTCGTGCACAAGATGAAGCTCCAACCAACTGAGCCACCTGACCAGGGCTATTTTGCTTTTTAGATTCCACATATAAGTGAATTTGTCTACCTCTGTCTGATTTATTTCACTCAGCACACTACCGCTTATATTCATCCATGTTGTTGCACATGGCAAGATTTCATTCTTTTTTATGGCTGAGTTATATTCCCTTGTATATATGTACCACTCTTCTTTATCCATTCATTTATTGGTGGACACTTAGGTTGCTTCCATATCTTGGCAATTCTGAATAATGTTGCAGTGAATGTATAGATGCACATGTCTTTTCAATTTACTGTTTTGGATTTCTGTGGATAAATGCTCTGAAGTGGGATTGTTGGGTCCTCCTTTATCTCTTTATAGCTTTTAGTTTGAAGTCTGTTTTGTCTGGTGTAAGCTTTGCTAGCATAGTTTTTGTTTGTTTTCCATTTTCATAAAATATCTTTTTCCATCCCTTTGTTTTCAGTCTGTGTGTGTGTGTGTGTGTGTGTGTGTGTGTGTGTTGGTCTGAAGCGAGTCTCTTGTAGACAGTGTATCTAAGGGTCTTGTTTTGTTACTCATTTTAGCTATTATATATCTTTTGGTTGGAACATTTAATCTATTTGCATTTAAAGTAATTGTTGATAGACATGCATTTATTGCCATTTTATTACCTATATTTTAGACCAAATTATCCCTTCTTTGTAAAGAAGAACTTTAACATTGTAGTAGTGGTTTGGTAGTGATAAACTCCTTCAGCATTTTGTTGTCTGGGAAGATATTTTTCTGCCCTTTGATTCTAAATGGTAAGTTTGCTGGGTAGAGTGATCTTGGTTATAGGTCCTTGATTTTCATCACTTTGAATATTTCTCACCAGTCCCTTCTGGTCTACAAACTTTCTGTTGAGAAATCAGTTGACAGTCTTATGGGAGCTCCCTTGTAGGTAACTAACTGCTTTTCTCTTGTTTCTAAGATTCTGTCTTTAACCTTTGGCATTTTAATTATGATATGCCTTGGTGTGGGCCTCTTTGGGTTCATCTTCTTTGGGACTTTGTGCTTCCTTTAGTAGGTTAACAAAGTTTACTGTCATTACTTCTCTAAATAGATTTTCAATGTCTTGCTCTCTCACTTCTCCTTTTGGCACCCCCATGATGCAAATGTTGATGTGCTTAAAGTTATCTGAGAGACTCCTGACACTATCCTCATTATTTTAGTCCCTCCCTCCCTTCCTCCCTCCCTTTCCTCCCTCCCTCCCTTCCTTCTTTCCTCCCTCCCTCTCCTTCCTTCCTTCCTTCCTTCCTTCCTTCCTTCCTTCCTTCCTTCCTTCCTTCCTTCTTCAATTCTGATAGAGTGTTTTTTGCTTCTCAGTGTCATGTACTGTATGGTTGATTTCCTGTAAATTATTTTTCAATTCAGTTAATGTATTCTTCATTTTTGACTGATTCTTATTTATGTTTTCTAGTTTCATTTTTATGTTGTTCATCTCTTTGTAGAAGTTCTCATTAAGTTCATCTATTTTTCACCTAAGTTTATAGGGCATTCTTATAACCAGTGTTTTGAATTCTGCATCTAGTGGGTTGTTCATCTCCATTTTGTTTAGCTCTTTACCTGGAGTTTCGTTTTCTTCTTTCATTTGGGGCATGTTTCTTTGTCCCCTCATTTTTTCAGCCTCACTACATTTCTGTCTCTGTATTAGGTAGAGCCGTTATGTCTCTCAGGCTTTGTAGAGTGATATTACATAGTGGCGTCTCTCTAGGGTCCAGTGGCACAACTTCCCCGATCACCTGAGCTGGGGACTCCAAGTGTGACCTTCATGCCCATGTGGGTTGTGTGTATCCTCCTATTGTAGTTGAGCCTTGATTGCTGTTGACACCTCACTGTGAGAGACTTATCACCACGATGATCAGCTGCAGGGACTGGCTGTGACCACCATTGAGGATCAGGTCTGCAGGGGCTGATCCATGGAGCAGGACTTACATCAGTGGGTCTCTGGTACCCCCCGAGTCTGCTCCTTGAGTGTGTTGCTTGTGGAGGTGGTTGGGTGGTGCTTTGATGTGGTATGAAGCTGTCTACCAGGAGCACTAGCCAGGGGCCCTCCTGGGAGGTGCAGCCCAAGGACAACCACTGCTTGTGTTCTTTGTGGGGCCACTGGCATGAGCTACAAAGTGATCTGCAGATGGCTGCTACTTGTCCTGGGCTTGGAGGTGCCCAGGAGAGGCCAAGCTGTGAAACAGGTGTGGCTGCCCCTAGTGCCAGGCCTGGGGCCACTTAGTCAGTGGTACAGGGCAAGTTGAGGCTGAATCTGCTTGTTTGAGAGGTTTTAGGCAAGTCTAAAGCATGAGCCAAGATAGGCCCTTTGTATGAAGAAGCCTGCAGTTGGGTGGGGCAAGGACTCGGGGAATCAGCAGGGCAGGGTGAACTGTGAACTGTGTTAGCCAGGTTGATGGAGACTCAGATATGGCACCTACCAGCCAGCTGTGTGTGGGGAGGGCTTAGCAAAGGAGGAAGGGCCTCTGCTAGTGCTTCATTTTGGGAGAAAGCTACCGTCCAGCCCCTACCCTAATGCCAGACAATTCATTTCCTACCCACATGTCCCTGTGCCATTTGAGCTGCTTCCCCAGGACTGGAGCTCAGAGTGAGTGAGCATGAGTAATTCTGTTTGTGTGCATGGGACCCTAAACCCTGCAGGTTCATGGCTGATCTGAGAGATACAAATTCTTCTTAAATATTTTTACATATATTGGGTTCATAGGTTCAAGGTTATGACTAGCCTCACATTTGTACCAGACTAATGTTAAGCCATAGCATTTAAGCTGTCAGTTTAGTTATAACACATGTTTCGTAAGGGTGTGTGATATTCGATAGTAAAATGTATCTGAGAGATATGGCGAACTACAAATTCATTGTTAGTGTGGTTTTTTTTTTTGCTGAATTATATTTTGTTGATTATTTTATTATAGTTGTCCCAATTTTTCCCCTTTGCCCCCCCTCCACCCAGCACCCCCAACTCCCTCAGACAGTCCCTGTACCATTGTGCATGTCCGTGGGTCATGTGGCTACTCCATTTCCTGTATGTACTTTGCATCCCCATGGCTATTCTGTCATTACCTATTTGTACTTTTTAATCCCCTTATCCCTTTACCCATTTCCCTACACCCCCATCTCATCTGGCAACCATCAAAACATTCTCTGTATCCATGATTCTGTCTCTGTTCTTCTTGTTTGTTTCGTTTGTTTTCTTGATTCAAATGTTGATATGTATTAATTGTCATTTGATTGTTCATAGTTTTAATCTTCTTTATCTTAGATAAGTCCCTTTAACATTTCATATAATATTGATTTGGTGATGATGAACTCCTTTAGTTTTTTCTTGTCTGGAAAGCTCTTTATCTGCCCTTTGATTCTAAATGATAGTTTTGCTGGGTAGAGCAGTGTTGGCTGTAGGTCACTACTTTTCATGACTTTGAATATTTCGTGACAGTCTCTTTTAGCCTGTGAATTTCCTTTTGAGAAATCAGCTGACAGTCTTATGGGAACTCCCCTGTAGGTAACTGACTGCTTTTCTCTTGCTGC